AAACTTTAATTAATATAGTTATGTAGAGATCTATTATTTAAAAAAAAAAAAAAAAAAAAGTAAATACCATTTATTTTCTATATTCAACCCAAAAATCTGCACATTAAGTGTATTGCTTAATAAAATAATTAACAGAATATAGATTTCTATTCTAATATACATTTTGGAAACAGTAACTCATCCAACCAACCACTCTTAACCCATTCACTGTGACTGGAATGTACATCCCAGCTGCAGTGAAAGGATTAATAAACGTAACTCATAATTTGGTATAAAATAAATGTGAAAAAAGTTCACTGTTATAAGTTTAAAATTGTAACTTGTGTCAATAGTAAATTAGCTTATACCCTTTAGTAACTTTCTGAATTTACTTTATTTCTGGAAGTTACCATAAAAGATACCAGTATTCTGAAATAATTGTTTTAGGTTAAATAAATTTATATATGGTAATAGTTTTGAAATAACTTCTTGGAGAAGATTTTGTAACTTGAGCAGGGTGGAGTTAAGAAACAAATAGTTGATAGTAGGAATTGAAAACTTTCACAAGTTTTTTTTATAAATCCATAATACTTTGTAAAGCATAAAGATAAAATAACAAGATTGCAGAAGTTTTGATCTTATAGTATATTCAATGATTACAAGTACTAAAACATCTGAGAGAATTCAAAAACCCATTGGGGTAAAATTATTACAAGTCTTGAATAATAACTTTTCATACAGTTCCTACCATAAAGTATAAAGTTGTTAAAAAAAAATACAATGCTTAAATAGAACTTTACATTTCTTTGTGTCTTTTTTTTTTTTAACTCTTTAAGATTGAACAAATCATACACATAGTAACCAAATTTCTTGGATTAAATAGTTATTTTCATGTCACAAATGTAGAAATCAAACCTAAATATTAAGGATTTAAAGTGTCAGAAATATGGTATTTTGGAACTTATGATTAGATGAAACTTGTATATATAAATATATGTAATATAATTGGAACTTATGATTAGATGAAACTTGTATATAAATATATGTAATGTAATTTCAGGTGACTATAGAAAAAGGTAAGACATTACACATCAAGACACTTGCTGTAAGTGAGGACCCAACCAAGTCTGGGGAAAAAGAGGTATTCTTTGAACTGAATGGTCAGCTGAGGTCTGTGTTCATTAAGGACAAATCAATAACTGAGGTGAGTTGATGCAGTAATAAAGTCTGTTTCCTAAACCTCAAAAATCTACAGGAAAAACTGATTGTTATATTTTTTGCTTTACAGTGTTAGATAGAATCAAAGGAATTCAAGTTAGTGATTGGATTTTGATATGGATTCTTGATCTCTTGGGGAGTATGTGAGATCACAAAAGTGATTAAACTTGATTAAAGAACCAAAATTCTTGTGAAAAATTGATCTTTCTGATAAAACATCTGCACCTGAAAGCATTCATGTTATGTTTCTTTGTTTGTGATGTAGAAATAACTAACTTAGTATTTTACTAAAAGCACAACACACACACTTTTTTCAGAGAATATGAAAGTTTGCACGGGAAGAGAAAGTAAAAGTTACCTGGGGGGTTAAAGTGTGTGCATAAACTGAACATTAGGGGGAGTATGAAGTCTAGAAAACATGGCATTTATAGATTTTAAATGGAGCAATTCTATAAATTTACATGGTAAAATGCAGACAGGTAGTATGTGGTAACTTTAACATTATTAACAGGAATTAATTTGGCTTTTACCAGATATAATTGTTCTTCCTCCTGGTTTCTCCATCTATTGTAATTTTGATTTTATAATGAAATCATTTTCACAGAAAACATGTGACGGTTGCAGGTTCAAATCCCCGTCCCACCAAACATGCTCGCACTTTTAGCCGTGGGGCATTATAATGTGACAGTCAATTCCAATATTCATTGGTAAAAGAGTAGCCCAAAATTTGGCAGTGGTGGTGATGACTAGCTGCCTTCTCTCTAGTCCTTCACTTGTAAATTAGAGATGGCTAGCATAGATACCCCTTGTGTAGCTTTGCACAAAATTCAAAACAAATTCACAGAAAAAAATGTTTACTTACAAATTTCTCATGTTATAAGATAGTTAAGAAAAGCAACAAGTTTAGGGAAAAAGTACACAAAATACTTTTGTTAGTATTATTACTTAAATTATGAAAATGAATGTTCACACAATAGTTAAACTGAGCAATTTGAAACAACAGGATATATACTTACTTACTAGACTGATCGATTATTGTACAAACTATCTTCTTATGCTATTAAAATAGATTTAATGGAGCAGGTTAATAAAGCAAAATGTTAAAAAATTATAAATAGTGTTTGTGCCATATCTCTTAATATATATGTCATTGCGGTACAAATCAACATGAAACGATAGTGCTTTTTTCTGTGACAAACAAATTTGTCTTTTTAAAATTCTTCCATATATTTAGTTTTTAGGGTAGATTGGTAGATATTGTGATGAGTAATAAAATCAAATACACTCGCCCCATGCTTGGTTTTGCTAGCTCACAAAAATCATAATCATTAGCTGAAATTCCCCATTATGTTTGCTTGGTTGTCAAGGAGACACTTTTGTGCTACATCACCAAATTTTGTCCAATAGGAGCCCTCAGCTACAAATCTATAATAACTCAGATGATTTTACTGAAGCACATTTCGATTTTGAAAATTTCCAAATTAAAGTGCACTTCTTCAGCTCAGCAGGCTAACAAAGCCAAAACCAGGAAGACAGTATTTTACCATCACAATTAATAATTTGCAAGATCATACAGTTGATCAAGTAGAAATATGTCTTTGAGAATAAGTTTTTTTTTTTGCATGTTTCAGTTTATAAGGGTTTATCAAGAACATTTGAACATAACTTAAAAATATACAGAAGTCAAATATGCTAATCAAGCAATACTTAAAGGAGATGACAAAATATACATAAAATGCTTTTTTGAAATACTAGAAATAGCATAGCCATTCTCCATACATATATTGTTACTAGATTATAATTAATTTTTAGAAAACATGCTCATAAAACATTTACTTAGATACAATTTTGAGAAGAAAAATTAATCATTTCCCTTCATATGATGAGCATTCAGATTGTTGTTACATAGTTTCAAATTATAAGTATACTTGTTAGAAACAACTACCTTCTATTTAAGTAAAACAACCTTAAATCTTACATTTTAAGAAATATTTTCAGAAATTGTAGTCCTAAACAAACTTTTAAGCTCCCTTCGGCCATTTGATCTGGATGTCAAGTAAAAATATATTTTATGGAATGTTAATTATATATTTGATACACAAGAATAATTCAATTTCTTCTGATATGTTATCCCATGTCAGAAATATGTCTTCAGTATGGCTATACTACATCTGTATCTGTAATTTAAATGGTAGCATCAAATATGTTTTTACTGATTGTTTAACTAAAAGCTTGATTGTACAGTTTTTAAATGTAATGGCTAAATAATTAAAATATAAAATTTGTAATCTTGTTGCATCTGTTACTGTTGTAACAGACTTACATACCTGTTCATTTCTTGGCTCATACTCTTCAAGAATTTCATGTTTTTTAACACCTCTGTTACTAACCATTAACTGGATTTTTCAGGATCCAAGGCTTCACCCCAAAGCAATTAAGGGAGTTCGAGGTTCAGTAGGTGCCCCTATGCCAGGCACTGTCATAGATATTCCAGTAGAAGAAGGCCAGAAGGTTGAAAAGGGAGCACCTTTGATTGTGTTAAGTGCCATGAAAATGGAAATGGTTGTTCAGGCTCCCATGTCCGGCACCATCAAAGCCTTACGTGTCACAAAAGGCATGAAGTTGGAGGGAAATGACTTGCTTCTTGAAATATCTGAATGAAAAATTCGAATATTCTGAAGTTATACAACATAGTTTTTTGTGTTTTAATTATTGCAATTAACATGAATATCTTGATTTTTATATGAATAACAAAGTAGGTGCAGTGCACTGGTGCTGATGCTCTCTATTAAAAATTAGCATTGCTTCTAATTCACTGTAAAATGCTAAAAGCTTATGCAGAATTCTCATATATAGGGTATCTAGCACACACACAAGTCGGCAACTTTTAATTTTTATACATAAGAAAAATAACATTAAAACTTTAAGAAAATTTTAGGGGATGGAAAATACTGAAACAAAAAAAAACAGCTTTACAATTATATAGTTCGGTATTATTTCTTGCATTCAATTGCTTATTGTGTACCAAGTGTGTGAGTAGATGCACTCATTTGCTTTACATTCCTAAGTGTGGATTTCCCTTCTTTGCTGCTAAATCTTGTCATTAATATGATAATATATCTTGCTATATGCGAGCCAAAAAGATGGTAACTCACTGTAGTACATTATCTACGGGTTTATGATTATTTTTATATATAATCATAGTTAATCCTACGTATCAGAGAATACTTTATAACCATGGAACAAATGATATTAATATCACTAAACTTGTAAAATGGCATGCTAGGTTTTACTAATTAAAAATATAAATTTGTACATGACTTCCACTTCCTTGGTTGCACACATGTACTTTATGTTGTTGGATTTGCCACAGAAACTAAAATGATTAGCATTGTCTACATTAAAACATAACATTATGAATAAACCCTCACCTCGTATTATTAATTTTTTTTATGTACATTTATATTACGTACTGTTGAAGAGAGAAAGAAAGTTTGTAGTATGTTGTTTAGACTTATAAAATATTAATTGATAGGACACTTTATTTTCAATTTTAACATTAGTTTGAATGTATTATAGACATGCTGCAATGCCACATTGATTCACACAAATACTTTCAACTAACTTGGAGTTTATTTTTTGATGTGGAAATTGTTTGTTTTTGTATGAGAACCTCTGTTAGTATGAATCTTTGTGTTACTGTAATGATCTATTTTCATAAAACAAAACTAGTTCTACAGCACCACCACCACCCTTTTTTTTGTGCATAAAATTCAAATTATGTAGTGAATTATTCTGAAATTTATGTCATAGCAAACAAAATAGTAAGCCAGTTTAACACAAATTTTAAAAATACAGATTTTTAGGACTTGCTGTACAGTATACTAATATTAAAAAAACAAACATTAAAATATAAATCTTTCATTAGCTCTGTTATGGTTTAAGAGATTCATGAAAGTGAAATAGACTCAACCATAATGTTTCATATATCATTGAGTTAATGTGGTTAAGGTTTTTTTTTCCCCCTTTCCATCTTAAAATCTTGTGTATAATAGTTTCAGTTAATTGTTTTAATAATTAATCTGCAACTTGAATTTTAAAAAATTCCAAAATGAGAGATTTATCATCTTACTGGATGGTACATTGTAATGTTTTAAAATTGTGCAAGAGTGTAACATTAACAAATACATTTTCTGTCATCTGCTTCTAGTGTTTAAAGTAAAGAAAATTAAGAATTAGCTAGTCACTGCTTCATTAAATAAGTCATAACACATTCAAAAATCTTCATTATACGTTAGTTTTAGTTTCACAATGAAGTTCGTTAAATGAGTATGAATCTCTTGAAAGAAAAAAAAGTCCCTTATTAAGAGGATCCTTTATCTTGTAACTGGTTTATAATAAACTATATATAGGTGTGAAAACATTTTGAACTTTTTTTAAGGAAGAGATAAGTGATTGCTGCAAGCAGAAATTGATTTTAATTTTGATCCATTGATTTATGGTAATTATAAATGTTGTTGTCTTTAATTCTGAGTACTGAATTATCAAAACTTTCATAAAGATCAGACTGTAACTAGTTTAATTATTTCTTCATTGCATTGGAGTCTTTGATGTGATCTCACACACACGCACACATGACTTTATATATATCCTACTTATTGCCTATGTTATTTCTCACTCTGTTTTGAATTACTTTTATATAAACTTGTACATTATTTAATTACAAAGATTCTAACCATAAAACATTAAATGCAGTTACTGGTTTGTAACTTTTGTATTAGAATTTGTATTGTGTATGAAGAATTTTTAGTTCTGACATCAGTGGTTATTAACCAAGAGAGCTACATACATAATAGTCCATTTTTATTTACACATTGCATTCTGTTGTGGTTTTTGTTTCAATACTACAGAAAATAGTGTTTCAATCAATCATTCGCATAATATTGACTGAATTAAAGCAAACTAAGTAGGTTTTTTCTTTCTCATTCCTTCTTAAAAGGGTTCTATTGCAAAATGTTTTCATGGTATATTTACCTCAAGAAAATAAATTTCTTCTATGCATAGATGTTTGTATTGAATTCTCTCTCTCTCTTGTGTTTTTTGGTAAATAATATTGTGTTACTGATACTTACTCCAATTGGAATTTGCAAATGATTTAAATACAACTAATAGTTACAACTTGCTTGCGTAATTTAGTTCACACTATACAGTTCTAGGAACTGATGATATAAATAGTGCTTCAACCACTTCTATGTCTGTCTTATCCAGCCTGATGAGTTCTAATATTGGAATGAAGGGCCTCATTACCATTGAATGTAACAGATGTTGTGTGGTTGACATATTATATATTCTTTTTTGTTTTCACTAAAGTTCTCAGAATTTCTTGTAAAATACAACCAGTTTAATTTCAACCTTTGGATTACAAGTGTAGTTTCAACAAATTCCTCTATGTGTTCTTTGTTTTCATCAGACTGCCCAGTGTAATGTTGTGATTTTTTTATAGTCATTTATAAACATAATATTCTGACTTTGCTCATTATAATAATAGCGGGTTAAATATCTCATCAAATTTATTTACTTGCATTTGTTGATGTTATAATAGTGGAGCTGTAAATTTACATGAACAGTAATACTTAAAACATCATTTAACATAGTTATTGGAAAGTTCTTTGGAGATAATGTTGTCAAATATAATAACTAGGATTTTTGAAAGATGAACTAGAATTTTGTAAGGATTTTCATGGTAGGAGGGAGAGCTACAGAATACTTTTTGATTTTTCAGGTGAAGACCATAACATACAAAAAAAAAAGTCATCAGAATGAAATTTTTTTTTCTTTACACATTAAAATAAATTTATTGGAGATCATTTCATTTTTATATTATATCTTTATTAGGATGGTATTAAGTTATATCCTAACATTAAGTAACAAATATAAAACTGTATTTCAAAATCTTGAATAAAGACCCAAACCCATTTTTATTTCATAAAAATTTGACAAGAATTTTTACAGGAAAAATATTAGTCAGTAATGGTTGCTTTGCCCTTAAAGATTATATATATACCATGATTTGGAATCCATCTTTTTGGCTATACCTGAGTGTGCTTAAAACAGTTTTTGAACAAAATGAAATTTACACTGAATATTTTAGGATGATAAATTAACCTTGTAAGGAGAGCCTCTCTCTTCCTATCATTAGGTTGTACAAATGTAATAAGTTTGAACTTAGTTTACAGAAAAATATGTTATTATATTTTAAAAGTTTAATTTTCTTTGAAATTTATATTTGCTATTGATAGTTATAAGATTTATTGAGGTGAGAATAAAATTTGGTAAACAACTGAACTGGTTGTGTGATGTCTGTTATTCATATATTTATGCATACTAGCAAGATTAAGATAATATTTTATTCTTTATATATTTGTTCTGTTACAGAGTAAATTAAAAATGAAAATAAATATGTATTCTGTGTAGTATAAAAAGTAAATTGTTATTAGTGTAAACATTTTGTAAAGTAAATATTCTGTTAGCAAAGATCATTTTATTAAGGTGTAGATTAAGTGTTTTTAGAGTATTCACGTCAAATTTAGTTTTAAAAAAAAGATTTCGTACAGAATTGTTCAAATGTGGGAGTTTGATAGTTAAATACATTGTAATTTGTTCTTAATGTTTTGATGTCTTTATTCAGAATCTTGCTCTCCTGATGGTGGTGTTTCCATGTGTTATGGCAAGTTAACAACTTACATTTGACAAAATGGCATTTAATATATATCAAGACGTGTGTATAAATGAACATGAAACAAACACTTTTTATGTTAAGATCAGTAATGCTAGATCATGTTTGAAAAGAATGTGGCATTTCTTAGTAAAAGAACAGGTTTAATATTAGCCCAGAGATGATAACTGGACTTCGCATATTAAAATATCATTATTATTAGACAAGAAATGTTCTTTCATCCTTTAAGTAAGAATAACTAAGCTGCCTCATTACTTCTGAGGTTTTAAACCTAGTAGCTAGAAAAAAAAATCTTCAATCATTGAAAATTAACACCACCTCTAAAGTACCAAGTGTGAGAAATGTCTGTATGACGTTATCCTTTCGTCTTCTTTTTCATCAAAAGTCTATCAATTCAAGCATTGTATCTAGCCAATATGTTAATGAGCAGATGGTAAATATAAGAGTATGAAGGCTGCTTAACATTGCTCTTATCTGTGCTATTGTATCGCCAATAATAAACACGTTACGTTTTCAACAGATAAGTCATAAAAAAAATCAAGCTACTTGACAAATAATGATAAAAATGAATAACTGTATACAAGTTCATACATTAGAAATGACATTTTTAATGGTATACAGTAGATACAATGTGAGAGTTATGGTTCAAAATTATTGAAAAAGGTCACAGATGGTCAACCAGATTTTGAGTGACTGAATAATGTTTACTTAAGTTGGTGTTCAATTTCAAATGTATGGAAGTTATAGGTTGTTTGGGGTAGCAAAATTGTTTGATTAGTTCTTGTGATATTGATTACTAAACTGCAATGCATCAGTACAGTAGGTTATTGAATTTAATGTCATTTTGTATCATCTAGAAACTAGAACATGTAATTTCTTAGAATAATGTAAAAAGAAAAAAATTCAGATCAATAAAAATTCTTGCAAATTTTGTGCAATTTTCTCATTACAGGTTTGTACTTTTGTATAAATCAACTGTTAAGCAGTTATTGACAAATGTCCGTTTTTAATTCTTTGCAATTTGATCATTTTTTTTTCTGCACTTAAATTTTACAGTAAAATTCATATTTATACTTTTTGTTTTGAATATTTGTGTCAAAAACAAATTTTCTACACAAATCATTAAAAGGATTTTTATTAAACTAGAAGGTATACATTGTCTGCAAAGCTTTTCTAGTAGAATTAGCATATATAAGAATATTTCGTATCCTTTTTAAATTGTGTGCGCAAGTTGATTTTCCAGTAACAGAGCTTGTTTGTTGCACATCCCACACATTTAGTAAATTATGCTTGATTATTTCTGTTGATAAATATGAGAAACCAGGTACCTGAGAATGGATGACTTTTGTGAACAGAAAATCAAATCCCAAAATTAGTCTTAAAGCAATGGAAGTTGCTTAATCACTATTTCTAGAGAAACTTTTAAATATAGTTATTAATTTATGAAAGAAAACTAGTTTCAAGATTGTGAGATGAAAAAAAATTAACACTAAAATGCTGTTTCAGTTACACTGATAAAATCTAAAAAAGTCATTGTAAAACAAGATTCTGTTAATCTTTCAAAACATTAATAAATGTTGGTGATTTGTTATCACTATAGAAGTTACTGTGCACACAGTATGAGAATTGGGATGGATGAAAATTAAAGAAGGGGATGAGATCAACATTCTGACTGTTAACAATAAAAAGGTGTCTACTATATGAGCAACAAAAATTTAAGTCATTTGCTATGGATCAAAATGACTGAGTGAAAGAAAATATTTGTAATGTATTAATTATAGCTAAACTGCAGTCCCTCAGTGGTAAGTTTGAGGGCTTGAAACAGTAAAAATCTGGTTTCAATATCCATGGTGGGCATAGTTCAGATAGACCATTGTGTTTTAACAATAGACTAGCTAACATTTTATTTTTAAAAACTTTCACTACTAGGAAAAAGTCTGCAAAAGTAATGTCATTGTACTGATAAGAAATTGGAATATCTCCATATCTTAAGTCTGGTATCTAAATTGACAGGGATTAAGGTGATCTGTTAAGCACTTGTTGGTGAAGAAATTATTTTCTTGTACCTGCTCTACTGATAAAATATCAGTATGAAAATAATTTTTTGATGAAAGTTCATGGACTCCCTGATTCATGTTTGTAACTAGTTTTCCAGCAAGTGTGGAGTTGAGCAAGAGAGAGAAAGTTTATGCATAACACACTTGAGGAAATACTGACCGAGCTTATATGATATTTAGATTCTGATGTCTGACATCAAGTAACTGTGAAACGCAGATTCCAGAAACTTCATGCAGAAAATTGTAATAAACTGAAATAGCTGATGGTAAACAAATTAAAAATAATAATCAATTAATGGCCAGCTTCTGTTCAGCAAAGTAAGTTTAACAGGTTGCTGAAAAAGAAGTTTTTTTTTTTTTTAAATATCTGCACAGGAAAAAGGTAAAATAAACACTTGTGTTATACTGTCCTTTCATACTTGAACTAGGATACTTAATGCATCATCTTACAATTGTTAATTTCCTACATCAGTGAATATTCCAAGTATTATATACAAGGAAGTGAACCCCCAACTCATAACATCTTGTACAAGTAACTGTATCACCCCTTGAGATGGACTTGCAACACTACAGGAAATAAACAAAGCCACTGGGTCAGTCTGGTACAAGCTACTATGGGATAATTATTGCTTTATAGCTTTTACTCAAGCAAAAGGATGAGTATAAGTTGATGACCTTTTGACATCAAATTTAGAAGGATATAATTAACTACGTCCACAGTGCCTAAACAAAAATTTTGAAAAATTACCTGAATATAACTTGCTTCAGATATATTCTTAAAACTAGTTATGGAAGGGTGAAATTTAACAGATATTTATACTGTGATACTACTAAACTTGGGTCATAGTTACACATTAAAATTCAACTGATTTTCAGTCAATACCACAATTAATTCAGGGTCATTATACTACAGGTTTTTGTTTTTTTTCTGCCCAAGTCTCAAAATTACATATATTAAAAGTGAGTTGTCTTTTGGAAGCTTGATTATTTTCAATATTCAATAAAAAGGTCTGGATTACTTTCTTATGTCTGATGACAAACCCAATTGGGTAACATAACTAGTTGAGATTATTGCACTAACGATGATAGTGTTGCCAATGTTAATAAGTCTTGGACAAAACAACTATTTTATAATTAAATGGTGACAAATATTGAGATATTATAGACCTTGAGCATGACTTTGCTTAAAATTTAATATGACCTTAAGATCACTGGCAAAGGTTATTTGGACAGAGACAAAATTCATGCTAAGTAATAAAACTTTCAGGATTAAAAACACTTAAATAAACATTTTTTCCAACCAAGTTTGTTTCAGGGTTGTGATTATGGTTTGGTTTGAATTTTGTGCAAAGCTACACGAGGGCTAATTTAGCAGTGTAAGACTAGAAGGCAGCTAGTCATCACTGCCAACTGTTGGGCTACTCTTTTTACCAATGAATAGTGGGATTGACTCTCACATTATAGCATCCCCATGACTGAAAGGGCGTACTTGTATGATGGGACGGGGGATTCGAACCCGCAAGTCGAGCACCCTAACCCCCTGGCCATTGTGAATATTATAAATTTATTAAAATGACTAGAATAAATTTCAGCTTCATTAAACTTTTTATTAGTGAGTGTACAAGGCTAAACAAAAAACAACTATATGTCTTAATGTTGTTTTTATATATGACATGATGTAATAGTCTTTAGGATGTGTTTGGTTCTACATCCGTTTTAAAGTAATTGATTAACAACATTTATAAAACTAATTTATTTTACATACTGTATGTAGCACTAGTTGAATATTTGTTTTAAAACAAAGCCACATTGGATTATCTGCTGAATCCACTGTGAGGAACTGAACTCCAGATTTTAGTGTTGTAAGTCTGTAGACGTATAGCTGTTCCACTAAAGGGACATGGATTTTTTAACAATTTTACTGAAATCACATCTTATCACTGTATATTTCATGTTTTTTAGAGAGATTTATGAATTAGAAGCATACTTTCAATTGTAATGAGTTTCCAAAAATGTAATTCTAATAGTACAAGATTAATGATAAAATTTAGATTTATGTTAATTATATACAGTACATTATTATTAAGTGTACCTTGAATGTTTGAACTGTCAGGTAATTGGTTTAAAAATTAATTCACTGTTAATAAAATATTGTATAAGTGTCCTTGCAGAATGATGTTGTACATGACTCAATGTTTATCTCTTCCCCATGTATAGTAGCTGAATTTAAGTATCTCAAATAATATAGAGGCCATTATAAAGGAACACTCCCTAGTAGTTTATACAATTTTGAAACCATCTGACCAATAAAGTACCCTTTATAGAAAGATAAGAAAAAACTGTAAACAATATATCATTAGTAAAACAGCGTACAGGTCTGTGAATCTGCCATCTACTAATAGGTTAAAGTTTAGAAAAAGTGAGTCACTAAAAACTAAGCATATTCAGATCCTTTCTCTTTAAAAATCAATTCCAAATCATACCAACAGTTTTAATTTTTAATCTCTTATAACTAGAATCAGACAGGAGTCTAGATGGTGAATGTTTCAAGTTTTTTTTCTTCTTACACCAAATACTTCATCATACATTTTGTTACTCTTAACAAAAATTCAATTCTTTCATGAAACAACTTTGAAGGATTGCATGATTCACAGTTGATTTAACTTCCCGACTTTCTTTTCTTCAACGTGTGGTATATGAATATACCTTATGTTTTCAACTTTTTATAATATTATTTATTCTGTACATGTGCAGGTTTCACATAATACACAGTCAAGAGAACTGTTAAATTCATCCAATTCTATCCACCTTTGTTTTATTGTCATTATATAGGATATAATATCTGTTCTGCACATGGGTGGCATGGCTGTAATGCTGTACTTATGCAAGAGTATTGAGAGCAGTGTCTTTCAATGGTAATTCAGGTTGTATCTAGAGGTTACGGCTCTCCTATGCTTGAATGAGAATTACTGGTAACTCTGAGTGAATATATTTCTTGTGAAGTAAGGGATGTTGGATTTAAAGTCTGATACTAGTGATAGTGTCCTTCTGACCTCGAAAAGTAAGTAGTCCAGTATTTAACAACAGTAAGTACACATACTTTATTTGAGAATTAATAAATACTGTTTGCTTCATATAATACTATGTGTCCAGTCTTTTTTTTCACTGACTCAGTTATTCAGATTTAGTATTATTCCATAATAAATACCTTGATCAATATTCCTGTTACTCTGTGGGACCTATCCTACAGTCACTAAAAAATTAGATAAGGCCAAATCAAAAAATACCTTGTTCTATAAATATTTCTATTTTAGTTTTCTTTATTTTTTTTTATGGAGATTGGAATAATGGAAAGTTGGCAGTGCTGTCTTCTCTCCCATTGGTTATCCACCCAGCTGATCAATTCTTACAAGATTTAGTATCGAAGTAAATTCTAAACTTTCTTTTACTTTAGGAAAATAAGATTAAGCTAGAACCAAAAAAATAAGTTGTTTTACAAATATTTCATCCAGAATTACAAATATCAATATTCAATCCTTACTTTTCTTTTCTTTATAACCAAAAATTTACTGCCTTCTAATGACTTAAAAACCTGATATTTTTTTTTAGACTGTCTACTTTGGATACTTATGCAAGTAAGAACAGCCTGTCTGTCATCACAATATAAAAATATTTTGCATGTTTAAATGTGAAAAAATTTTGTTCACTGCCTCGTAAAAGTTAAAACTAGTTTTTGAGAGCCTGTAATTACAATCAAGAAGAGAAGACATAAATACATGTTTCTACCAAAGCCCAGAGGAAACTGTATATAAACATTGATGCTCAATCTAACATGTATGATTGCAGTATAATTTATCATCCATGTGGATAGCCAAAAGGAGAAAATATGGTAGTGTCAGCAATACAAGTAGCCTAAACCGGCTTTCACTTTTTTAACAATGTTGATATTATAATATACAGATGAATTAGACCTAGTTGTCATTAAATTCCTAAATAGTCCATTACTGAATTCTTCCCAAAAGTGAAAATCTTAACTCCTGTAAGTTTAAATAATAATCCACTCTGACCAAATCAAATTTTCATATTACCAATCATTTTATTTATCCCTGCCAACTTCTGATTACCAAACATATGCAATATTTGAAATGGAAAAGTTGTCCAGGCCTAATTTACTCCTTTTTGTATTTTTATATCTTTGTAATTGTAAACACTATATGTTAAAGTATAATAGATCAATACTTTTAAAAGTATTAGTTCTATAAGACTGATGTAGTTTAGGTTTACCTTATTTAGTATTAGAGTTGTCTCCAATTATATTTCAATTATTACCTACTGTAGAAATTTACAAAATAACGTCACTCCTTAACACCAACAGTAATGACCAATGGTATAAGACAAAAATCACTATATCAACTATAGCAAAAGCTTGTTAAAAAACTTATTTTTTACGTTTAAATTTACTCTTAGACTTGAATTTTTTTCCAGGTTGCCTCTTGTTACCTATTCTTCTTTCGAGTTTTCTGTGATCAGATGCTATGCTTCTCAAGCTTTTCACAGATTTCTTGTTGACATTTCCTAGATCTTCAGCAAATGATCTTTTTTGTGAATTTTTTCTTTTAATTCTAGTTTTTTTGTCACGCTCATCAATAGTTTTTATCCGCTGAGGTTTCCGTGATCTTTTTATCGATCTTGCCTGATACTGTGCAACTTTCTCCAACTCATGAATAACACGACCTTCAGCTGTATTGTTTATTTTTCCCCCTTGCTTTTTCTTCTTACCTTTAAAATCTGATAACCTTTTTTCAGCTTCATGTCTTTTCTTCTCTTTGACAGTTTGATACCAATTTCGTTTGTGCTTATGTACCTCAGATGATTTACCAATCATTTCTTCAACCTTTTTAATTTTTTGGTCTGATAAATTGATTTCCTTTTCCACCTTCTCAGTCTTTAATATTTGTTCAATATTATTTTCTAAGGATGCAATCCGATCATGATAATGAGACACAACAACCTGTGGTACAATTCGATGCTTCACTGGATTTCTAGCTTTTTTAATAATTTCTTTCAACAACTTCCGTTCACTTTCTCCAACCATGGACACTGATCTTCCACTGTGTCCAGCTCTTGCTGTACGTCCAACACGATGAATATAATGTTGAAGAGTATTTGGCATTGTGAAATTGATTATAGTGCAAACTCCAGGAATGTCCAGTCCCCTGGCAGCAACATCAGTGGCAATAAGTACATCAACCTCCTCCTCTTGGAACCTTCTCAGAGCTTCTAGTCGATGAATCTGATTTAAATTTCCATGAAGTTCATCCACTTTGATTTCCATCAGCTCCAACATAACACGAAGACGATGAACCTGCTTTTTTGTCTGAACAAAAATCAAAACTCGTTCATGAAAAGTACGACTAACTAGTGCTGCTAAAATTGGTTCTCTATCTCCTTCTCGATTTTCTCTAATTCGAATAAACTCTTGCCTTAAATTAAAAGCAACTTCAGTGTTACTATTGATAAAAATTTTCACTGGATCTTTCAGAGAAACTACAGCCAGATCCTGTACCATTTCACTGAGTGTAGCAGAAAACAGCATTGTTTGACGAGTGTGAGCACAATCTCTAATAATCTCTTTCATCTGCTCAGCAAAATACTCATCTAGCATTCTGTCTGCTTCATCAAGAATCAGTATTTCTATGTTACATAATCCAAAAGATGGTGTATTATGAATATGATCAATCAAACGCCCAGGAGTAGCTATGACTATATCCGGTGTTTTTCGCAAAGCATGCTCTTGAGCAGCTAAGTCTAATCCACCAACTGAGAGAGCTATTTCAATATTAGTAAACTGTGAAAGTTGTCTGGAAACTTTATAAACTTGAACACCAAGTTCTCTGGTTGGCACTAGCACTAACACCCTTGTAACTGGCTGTTGTTTGGGTTTATAGAGAAGTCTTTCTAAAACAGGAAGCATGAATGCTGCAGTTTTTCCTGTCCCTGTTGCTGCACATCCACAAATATCTCGACCCATAAGTGCAACTGGGATAGTTGCTGCTTGTACTGGTGTTGGATATAAAAAGTTCATAGCAGTTATAGCTTTTTGTAATGGTCTAGAAAGATTCATTTGTTGAAATGTCAAACTTTTATCATAAATAAGTCCTTCAGGAAACACTTCAATGCAGTCTTTTTCAGACTTGTATTCAACCCTCACTTCTTTACTTTCATTAATTTTTTGATGCTTATGTTTATCAAATTTAGTTTTCAAAACATCTTTCGTCATTACTTCATTTTTTTGTTCATTATTACGTCCCTTAACTTTAACCGATTCTTGAAGTTGAACGTTTTTTTCCTCATTTTGGGATTTTGATTTTTTTTTACAAGAATGAGTCAAATCTTCCCAAGTGTCTTGGTAATAGTCAGTAGCACTATTAATGAACTTGAAACTATCATTAAAATCTAGATTAGCTATATGTCGTTTCTGCTTCACACAGTTAAGTTCTGGTTCACTGTCGTTTTCGTCACTGCTCTCCGATTCAAGTGATATATCTTCATCCTCCTGTATTGTTCTCATTAGGCCTAGACCTGGTTCATGATGCAGTACACTAACCATGTTTCTTAAATTTGTCTTTAAACGATCAAACAAAAGAAAAACACTCTAAAAGCATACGCAAACAGCAACGCTCAATGTGCTAATCAGTTATATTTATAATCACATTCGCTAACTGGCAGCAAAATATAATAACATTCCAGACGAATATGAACGTTATATTTTTATAGCTCTAAATACTAAGCAGCCTTAACTTATCACGGAACCACGTGGCTTTGAAATGTTTTGCCACACGTTTTTCAAGTTATGACAAAATAAATGGACTAAATAAGTTTACCAATTTTAATATGTAACAATCCATACGTATTATAAAACATACTATCTTCTTTGGCTATCGACACATAAAATAATTTTATTAATATATATGCAATTCTTGATACTCACTAATTTGAATATATTTAATTTCTTCATATAGAAATTACTATACCACTACATACGCAGGCGTCGTTCATATGAAATAACTGCATCTCATCTGATACAGACTTAACCCTCAAATAATCGACTTATATATTGTTTGTTGGTTTGTTTTTGAATT